GTCAGGTTGTTGAACATTGAATTGTAATATCGTTGAGAAATTTCAATGGGAAGTCTTTGGCAAACAAATTGTAGGTGGTCATGCGTTACGAGTAACACCGTGTTTATGAAAAATATTTACCAAACTTTTGAGTTTCGCATGAAAAATGTAAAATTTGTTTCGGAATGTCAACATTGAAAACTTGATTACTTTTGAGAAATGCCTTATGAATCAGAAAATAATTTCTCATAAATGTATACAAAAGAGTTGTGTTGGTTGTTCTATTTGGAATTATAATTGTTGAATAGTGACTTAGCTTGAAGCGCTAGTCGGGTGTTTTAGTGATTTATCTTGGGAAGGGTTTGGTTTTGGTGGAATATTTGTATACCAAAGTGTTGTTCTTTTTCGGAACGGGTTTCCTTGGTAAACCCTTCCATTTGTGAGAGTAGATCGAAAATTTGTTATGAGGTTAGAATCTTTCCTGGTACTCGGGTGTTGGTGTTGTGTGATCAGTTGGCCTTGTACTTTTGGCGTGTTCTTAATTTCGGGGACGAAATTCTTTAAAAGAGGGAGGTTATAGCGATCCCGGTTATCCCTTTACTGTTCTGTTGTATTCCGGACGCGATTCCGTGGAGTTAGTAGTTGTACTTGTCGTGTTGTCAACCTTTAAACCCTTTTGATTGAGTTTTAGAATGTGTTGGGCTTGGTTGTTACAGGTTGGTAGAGTAGCTCCCATTGTTGTTGCCCAGTTTTTGAATGGTCCGCTCGAGCGGGGTTTACACACTTCCAGTATTTCGTGCCCCTGCAAAACTTCTGCAGGTGTGTTTTCTACGCTCGAGCGGGTTTCTTGCGCTCGAGCGGGTAGCGTTCGAGCGGGCTTGTTGACGCTCGAGCGGGTAGTTCTTTTTCTGAAAAATTCTGGGAGGTGAAAATCTACGCTCGAGCGAACTGGTTCTTCGCGCTCAAGCGGATGTGTTTTGCTTTTGTTTCTTGGTGCTCGAGCGAGCCTTCTTGCTCTCGAGCGTGACCAGATTTTTGTACTTGACGCTCGAGCGTTCTATTCTCCGCTCGAGTGGGTCATACCTATATGAGTCGTCCGCTAGGTAATTTTAAATCACTTTTTACATTTCCTTTCTCTCTCTTACTTTCCCAAAATCGATTTTGAGAGCCTCTCTCTCTAGGACCTCCCTTCTCTCTAGGGTTTGATCTAGTTAGAGTGTCTCCCTATCCTTCGGCCTTTGTAAAAAGTGTGTTGATCGTTGAGGGCTATATTTTGATCTAAGAATTTCGGGATTTGGAGCATCTTTGTTTCCTTCATCTTCTTCGTTGGGCTTCATCTTTGAGGTAGGGATTCCTACTCATCTTTATGGGCTTTGACCTAGATTGTGAGCTTTGTATAAATGGTTTTGGATTTTGGAAGTTAGGGTTTCAAATGTGTGATTTTGAAAAGAGGGGTTTTGTTTATTTGACTCATCCTTGTGTGTTTTGGGTCTAAATTAGAGGTTGTTGATGTTGTTACTTGTTAGTATTTTTTGGACCCGTGGGGTCAAGCTTGAGAAAGGGGGGGAGAAAGCCCTAAATTGTGCATAAATTAATTAGTATAATTAATATGGGAAAGTTATGGATTTGGTAAATTGAGTTGAATATGATGATAGTGGTTCATTATGAGATGGAATAGTGGAGTCGGATTAATAGATCGTTCAGTTTGAAAATACGGATAATTTATCTGTTGGTGCTTTTACTATCTGTTTAGCAATAATTGCCTTGGGCTACTGGTGGATGGTAGTTTTGATTGTTGTAGACAATGCATGATGATTAGGCAAACTAAAACTAATCTATTGGATGTGTCATCAAATATGACGGTTGAAAGAATACATTAATTTTATGTATTGATTGATTGAACTTGTATATGATAATTGTTTATATACATTGCTTTGTGTGGGAGGAGATGGGGGATGTACTCCACGATTTATTGGAAGATGGGGGATGGACCTCTAAACCGAAAATGGTTCGACATTGATACAGCCCTACAATGTGTATCAGATGTGAAGTATAGAAGTGTTTCTATGTTTATTTGATATAGCACTAAAATGTATATCATTTAGAAAGTATGGAAGTGTTTCTTTTGATTTGATACAACACTAAAATGTGTATCATTTGTATTGACTGATTGAACTTGTATATAATAACTGCTTATGTACATTGCTTTGTGTGGGAGGAGATGGAGGATGTACTCCACGGTTTATTGGAAGATGGGGGATGGACCTCTAAACCGGAAATGGTTCGACATTGATACAGCACTACAATGTGTATCAGATGTGAAGTATAGAAGTGTTTCTATGTTTATTTGATATAGCACTAAAGCACTAAAATGTATATCATTTAGAAAGGACGGAAATGTCTTGTTTGACTGTGTTACAACACCAAAATGTGTATCTATTATGAAATATGAAATGTTTAAAATGAGTTATTATCTCACCTGAAATAGAAGTACCATAGCCATGAGATGTGATCCCATTTAAAATGGTTGGCCTAGTTCTGAATTGTAATTATGAATCGAGAATTTGATAGGAAATGAAAACTGGAATAGAACATGGACATATTAGTCATGGGGTTGAATAGTGTTATAAGTTGTGGTGTAAGAGTTAAACATTTAACAATTGCAGACATTTTAGTTATCGTTCATACTATGTTTAGCATATCTCTACTGGGCGTTGGCTCACCCTATATGGGACATCATTTTCACGTTCAGGTATTATCCTGCATACGAGATCTTAGCTTGGATGGTAGAGAGAGTTGAAGACTCTTCATTTGTTGATTTTGTTAGCCAAGGGCTTATTCTTTATTCTGAGCTAGTACTTTTCTTTGTAACCCAAGTGTTGACTTGGAAAGTTGTAAGCCCATAGGGCATATACTTGATGTTAACCTGTAATACATCTGTAGGAAGTACTCTAATGGAAAGTAATTATGCTTATTTCTCTTATTTCTTTTATATTGTTGCATGTCAAGAATGATGGATTTTATGTATTATTTTGAGGGCGTTACAGTACGAATATTTATATTTCAAAAAAATTCCTGGGTAAATTACAATTTGCACTTTTGCACCAAATTCCACTTTGGCTCTTATACATGAAATCATGACAATCAAGTCATTACACTTCTAATCAAATCTTTTGGTACACATGAAATCGTGACAGTCAATCCTTACATTTTTAGTCAAGTATCAATATTCCCTTTTTGTTATTCTAACATATAAATCTTTAATGGAGGTCAGTAATGAGCCAAGCATATGACTACAAAATAAGGGCAAAGGGGGAAAATCACCCACATTTCCCGCCTATACACTTTTATACACTTCCCAAAATTTACATCATATTTTGTCTATATTCGACTAAAATAAAATTATGAACCATTAAAGAGACAAATTAGGGGTTTTTTAAAAAAAATTGAAATCACGAAACTCTGTTTTTCACAACAACACAGTCTTCTACCTATTGCTCTTCCCTTTTCTTTGATTTCTCTGCTACCTTTATTTATTTCAAAAGAGTTCTATTTTCTTTACTCTCTGTCTTAATTCTCAACACAAGAATATATATATATTGTATTATATAACTCTTACATGTTTATCACGTAGGACAAAGTATGTGTTGGTGGAAAATAAGGATAATTTTCTTCTCTTGTCCTCATTTTATAGCCAAATACTTATCATAAGACTGAATTAATGTTAAAGACTTAAACAATGGAGTAACAAAAGAGGACATTGACAATTGACCAGAAGTGCAGGGGGTTGGTTGACATGATTTCACATGTAGGGACCAAAGTGGGATTTGACCAGAAGTACAAGGATTAACTGTCACAATTTCATGTGTAGATATCAAAGTGAAATTTAGTGCAAAGTGTAGGGATGCAAAGTGTAATTTACCGGTGAATTTTTGTGATTTTCACTATTAATCCTAACAAAATTAGACAAACTTTTCATTGGCGAATTGAAAATAGAATAGTTTGAAATTATTTATCCAAAAAAAAAAAAGAGAGGAACAATTTGAAATTAAAATTGGTTTGTTCACCCCTCTCGGCCGAAAATCTATTGACTCCAATATTTCATAATTATGTCTTATATGGTCATTACCAAATTTACATTATATTTTCTTCCTCGTGATTTGAGATTAGAACATTTTAGCTCTCTCTATTGTTCAAATATAGTTAGAAAACCCTATGTAATTTTGAACCAAAATATAACCGTTAGCTTCGTTAATTATAAATGTAAAATGATTGTAATAACATTAAATCTTATGTCTTTTTTTATATATATTTTCTTTTTTTCCTATCTCATACACATAATTTATAATTTCTAACATCAATTAATTAAAATCATAATCAATCATAAATTGTTAATTATTTATTATAATTCCTAATTTTTTACTCTAGTTTTAATTTAATTATATTTTAAATCAAAAGTAATCGTTAAATCCTTAATTATTTATTATAATTCCTATTTTTATCTAATTCTAATTTAATTATAGTTTAGATCACAATTAATCATACATCCTTAATTATTTATTGTAATTCCTAACATCTTAATCTAATTTTAATTTAACTATATTTTAGATCAATCCTTAAATATTATTTATTTTATATTTTAATTTAATTATATTTTAAATCACTCTTTAATTATATTTTACATTTTAGATCAATTCATTATTATATATTTATTTTATTTTAATTACATCTTAATTTAATTTTAGGTTTGGAGAAGATCGAGATAAAATTATCTTTTTATTGTGTTAATTTCAATTTATTTTTTTAGAAAATCAAGTCATTTTAAAAAACAGTGTGTGTGATACACCTTCCGTTACTTTGGATGGAAAAATTAACAGTTGTATTTCAGACCAAAACCATAGAGCCTTTCTGACTATATAAAATGAATTGTCTTTAATCCAATTAGTTGATCAAACATAGTTTAGAACCTGTGCATTTAAGTTTGAGAATAAGAATTGAAGATTACAGTAAACAGAAGTTACCTTTATTTAAAGAAATTGTAGAATACATTCACCAAATCATGAATTGAGATAAGCTTGCAAGAGATCTGTTTGTCCACAACAACAAAAATTAATGAGATGATACATTTTTATGAGATAAGCTTGCAATCTATCTCGAGCCAAAAACATATGTGGGAGCATTTGGTGAAATGTATTTCCACATACTACCTAGATATCACCTAAAAATACATATATGGTTCGATATCACTAGAATTGAGCAAGTCCAAAATGCTCACGAATCTATTACACAAACCTAGAAAAATGAGCTTGAAATAATGCATAAATAGAATCTCACTACATGAATATTGTTGCAGTAGAAGGCAACAAAATTAAGAGTTATTATGTTAACAATCACAATAAGAGAGTTTTTGTTATTTCTTGAGCATATGAGTATTTTTTATTAATATAGATTTTATTTTGCTAATCAAAAAATCGAGTTATTTGATCGTTGATGTCAAAGAAGATAAGCCATAATTCTATAACTTTTGCTCCACGTTATATGGATTCTCAACCCCCTATTGTACTCATGTCCATATATTAAGATGTAAGGAAGAAGTCAAAAAAATTATTAGAAGACTGATAAGTGTAGCAAAACGAGATCAAAAAAAATATATATATGTATCAAACAAAATAAATTTAACTTTTATAAAAGAGAAATTTACTTACATTAATTATTAAACAATCACAAGAAAAATGAATAAATGTAGGAAAAATTGGTCAACAGTCCCGCTCATTGATTGTTTTGTGGCAGAGATCCAAATTTTGGTTTTTCTTAGTTACAAGCTGACATGCACAACACTTTCTCATTTGCAAGTCTAAACATTTTATGGCAAAGAATTTTTTTGACATATTTACCTTTTTATGTGTAGTGTTCATAAAATTTTAAGATGTTATAACTTTAACTACATATATCAATTTTTAATAAAATCATATTTTTGGGTATGTTTGGTCTGTGTTTGTAAAGTAATTTTTGAGATAAAAAGTACGAAAACTTGTTTGGTTTGTCTTTTTTCAAAAATGGTTTTGGAAAATTATTTTGGGGAGAGAGTTTTAAAAAAAGTGATTGATTTGATATGTATGAGAGAGAGAGTGTGTGATTTTGGAAAGTAGATAACCAAACAAAATTTTGAGATTTTTTTTGAAAAAATTTGTTTGGTTTGATTACTCTTGAAAATTTGTTTGTAGAGAATTTTTCCCAAAAATTTTTCTAAAAAACAAACCAATTGTGTTTGTCTTTTCAAGTTCTTTAAAAAAAAGATCAATATTAAAAATAAAAAATAAATTTAAAAAAAAACAACAACAAATAAACCTATAGAAAAATAATGAATAGATCTATTTCGAAGCATGTAAAGGCCAAGGAAATTCATGACAATGCAACTATGTAGTATCATAAAAATTATAGATCAATACCATAGAATTGCAATTTTCCCCACCATGGACCAAATGACATGATTTTTTAATGAAATTGTGAAATTCCTTGGCCCAGTATTCTAACTCATGCTCTAGTTGAATCCTTTCATTAATTCTGACTAGTAAGAGAACTCCGTTGATCAACTTTGGTTGGTAAAAAATCTTAACTATGTGATCCAGTTGAAATTTCAACATGAGACAAATCATTCCTTTTAAAGATGTAAGCCTGCAGAATAAAAAAAAATGATACTACTGAGATTCCAAGATTTTAGCACCGTGAGCAATGTTAGGCATACAAAAAGTTTACCAAAGATTTAACCACAAGAAGGGGTGAGATCCACCCTCATGTGAAACCCATCTAATGTGAATATTTTGTAAAAAATTAAGTAAAATATTTAGCGTTTCTAACATTTTAAATTTGGATATAGAGTGACAGGTGTACGAGCATTGATCGAGTTGGTGGATTAATCGGGACTAGCAAGACGGCTCATGGAAAGATTTGGGATAAGTTTGGGGCGAGAGAAAAAGACGTATAAAGTGTGGATCTCAGCTCTCAAAATTTAAAGGAGATGAATTTTCTCTGGTTCATAATTTGGATTGTATGGAACTAGTCTAGATTGTGAAGTGCATCAAGTGTATTGGTTCAATTATTCGAATAGTTCATTTTGTTCGACACTTCTTATATCATTTTTTTTTTTTAAATAATTAAGTTGATCCGATAATCGTAATTTATTCAATTTTATCGTGTTTGTCAACAAAAAAATGACAACAATTGTGTTTTTAAAATACTTCATTTGTTTTTTTTATTTATTCATTACAAAAGCAAAAAAAAATAATTATCGAATCGATGTAATTTTTTGTATGGGTAATATACATGAAGTACCTAATAAAATGAATGGTTCGAGTTGAGATGGGATCCGCATCTCGAAATGATTTCCAATCCAAATTATGGACCGGAAAAGAAACTAGCTCCCAATTTAATAACCAAGGGACTTAAATTTTGAACATCTTTTTATATGGACTTGATCTAATATGAATTTATTCTAACAAATTTGTTTAGCTCCAATTTTCTAAATTCAATTTTTTTTTTAAATTGAGTTTTTTATTTTTCTGTTTTTTATTTTTAATGAATTTTTTTAATATTTTAGGTAATTAGATGCACCTAAAAAATAAAATATTTGTAAGAAAATATTTAAATAATCAATAAATACATAAAAATATTAAAATATACTGAATTTTTGTATTTTTTTATTTTTGGTATTAATTTTTTATAATTTTTTTCATAAATATTATACTTTTAAATTGTATTTATATTAAGTGTATCTAAAAAGTAAAAAAATTATTTAAAATATTGAAAAAAAGTTATTAAAAACAAAAAAATATAAAAATATAAAAAAATCAATATCTAAAAAATTGAATTTAAAAAATTGGAACCAAAGAAGATAAAAATTTTCAAAGAGAGAGTGCAGTTACTATTACAATATAAGATATAAATAAATGTTCAAAATATGCTTCTGTACATATCCCTTGACATCTCTCTAGTCATCTAAAGGATTATAGGATTACACCGTCGAATTTTTGGTTTGTGAGCCCCCCTCAACTTCCGTTTCGTTAATTTGAATTATTTATTTTTAAGTACTTGTGTTTAGATTATTCTTGAAAAAATCATATTAATTCAATAAATATAATTATATAATTTTAATGTATCCATCTTAAAAAAATTAATGATATATTTTTTAAATTATATTTGTTATTTATTTTTTAAAAAAATACACAGAAATTATGTGACTACGTTTTATCAATAAATTTATTTTCTTTTTTAAAACTTATCTACACAAAAATACTTAAAAGTGAACTTTTGGAATCCCAAACATAGAGCTTATCGTGGCCTTCCAAAACTTGATAGTCTTCAAAACTTAAAAGTCTAGTGTGGGATTGAGATGGAAGTGAAACGCACTATATGTTATATTTGTTTTAAGAGATGAAAAGGGAATTCATAATCCTATAACCCCGTTTGCTTGGAGAGTTAGAGGGAGAATTGGGATTGGTAGTGAGGTGGGACCTATTAATATTGTGTTTGTTTTGAGAGATGGGGAGGGGATTGATAGTGAGCTCCGGATTAAGATTGGGCTCCCCAAGGGGAGTTGGAAGGGCCTCCAAGACTTAGTATTAGAAAAATAGTCCGGCGGACTAGAAATTTTTTATTTTTATTTTTATTTTATTTTTTACGTGTCGGGCATTTTTTTTTGAACATTAATGTTTAATTTTTTGTATTTTTTGTTAAGTAAAAATCATTATTTTATTTGTTTTATTTTTTTCTAGAAATTTTTTATTTGATTTTTATTTTTTTAAAATTTTTTACATGTTGGGCATTTTAAAAAAAAAATTAATGTTTAATGTTTTGTATTTTTTATTTGTTTTATTATTTTATATTTATTTTATATAAAAATAATTTAACAATCCCTACACTAACAACTACCATCGAAACAAACATAATTTTACTTAATCCCCTCACTATTAATCCCCTCACTAACAATCTCTTTATTATTAATCCACTCACTATCAATCTCCTCCATTCTACCTCTAAAAATTAGGGTGTTGGGATTGAGATAAAAGAAGTGGAGATGATGTTAGAAAATTAGTCCCATGGAATTAGATTTTTTTGTTTTTTATTTTTTATTTACATGTTGGGCATTTTTTTAAACATTAATATTTAATATTTTTGTATTTTTTTTTAAGTAAAAATCATAATTTTATTTGTTTTAATATTTTATATTTCTTTTCTAGGGTAATAATTTAACAATCCTCACATTAACAACTACCATCAAAGCAAACATCGCCTCGTTTGGGAACAGGCTAATTTAGTAACTTTTTGACTATTTGGCTAAAAAGGAAGAAAAAAAAACTTATACGTTTGGAATGACTTTTTGGCTAATTACGAAAAGATGTGCAAAAAGTAGAGAGAAAAGTGAATCTTTGACTTTTTGGTATGAATTGTTGGCTTTTTGGCTAAAATGATAACTTTTTGGCTTTTTGGCTAAAAAGGTAAATCCCCAAACGGTCCCCTCACTATCAATCACTTCCATTCTATCTCTAAAAACAAACGGGACCTCAAATCTATATAGCACTCATTTGGCATATAGTTGGGTTGGATTTTTGGCTAAAATTGTCCCCAAAAAAAAAAAAAAACTAAAAAATCAATAAGACAAAATATCACATCCAAATTATAATCATTTCATTTTTTCTCTCACAAAAATCATAAAAGTCAAAAAATCCATCCCAAACTAGACTTTTTAACTCGAGGCCAAAAAGTCAATCCACATCTCAAACAAAACCTAATATAGCAAGAAAGTTTTTGAAAATGTCCAAAATGTACCAAGAGATATATTTTGTTTCAATGATTTAGATTGTCTCATCCAAAATTCAATCGTTGAGATGTATTTATTTTTCGCCCAAATGCTCTCACTCTCTCTTCTCTTAAATCATCACTCAGCAAAACCTCTTTGCTCTCTCTCACCTCAAAATCTAAGCCCAAACCTCTCTCTCCTCTACCTCTCCCCTCTTTGTCCTCCACTCTCCTCTTGCGACGCTCCCACCAACTACCACAACCACCAACCACCCCACCACCACCGCCTCTCATCTTCTCTCGCTCTCATTTTGGTGGCTGTTCATCCGGCAAAATGAAAATGGCCTCATCCCCATTCTCTCTCTCTTTTCTCTCTGAAATCTAATCTCTCTCCCTATACATCACCACTCTTCATTCTTTTTATTAAACCCATCTTATTTGCTACCCATCTCATTTTCTCTCTCTCAGATTTCCATTCTCCCAAATCCATAATTATTTTTTTAATCACAACCCGTCCTCCACAATTGATTAATTAAACCCATCACCCTTCCCAGTTTTTTTTTTTTTTTAATCACACTCATGTCGTTCTCTCTCCCACCACACTCATCTCATTATCTCTCACAGGTCATTTGTTTTTTCTATCTATCCAAGTTTAGACCCAAGCGCCAAGAGATGCCCTACCTCTTTCAAACCCACAACATTTTTTTAATATTTCAACCTTTTCTTTTTTCTTTTTTTTTTCTTCACCCCACCTAGGCATATCTCTCACGAGTCCGGATCCTCTCCAGCTTTCCTCTCCTGCCTCCCTATCGGGCAACGGTCTAGATTGGACCACAACATCCCATTCAAAATGTGCGGCTGAGATTAGTTTTAAAAAAAAAATTAACTCACTGACAACACGTCCCACCATTCTCTCTCTCTCTCTCTCTCTCTCTCTCTCTCTCTTATTTCTAATAAAAAATTAAAAAAACTATTTTAATCTTTTTCATTTTATTTTCATAAGATATACTTTCTTCTTCCCAAAATTTAGTCCCTTATTCTATTTTTTATTATTTCAAAATATTAATCTTTTTCTAAAAATTAATAAATAAAATAATATAAATTTATTATTTTAGTCTTCTTTTAAATTCATTAATAACACAAAAAATATAATTATAACAATTGATATTCTCAAAAACATATATTATCAAAGAATAAATTTAAAAAATTAATATTTTTAAAATATAATAATTGTACTATCAAAAAAACTGAATTCCCCACAAGGAATTGTTATTTTGAAATGGAGTGAGTAATGATCAAGTAAGCAACATTTATTTTGGGAAAATGATAGAGAGCTCTAAATATAGAGCTCTAATTTGAGCTCTAATGATGTGTCAAAGCAAAAAAAAAAAAAAAAAAAAAAAAAAAGGCACAAAAATAACAAAAG